GCAACGAGCAGTCACTTCGTGTTCGACATTTTCCTCTAACTCCATATCTGGAACACCCTGAAATACTGTACTAAGTTGATTCTATGAGGATTGATAAGATCAACCGTAGTGTAAGAAATATTTATAATTACTTTTATATACAAAACGCAATGGTTCATCTAATACTACTGAGAGTCCTCAAAGCTACACTCGAGGTGCAGAAAGGGTGTCAAATTCAGTAAAATGTAAATCACTTTACTGCTTTTGAAACCGAAAAAACCTATCTATATCCTAAAATTCTCAACGTTCCAATGAAGGCATCCATCTGGCTTAGAGGTGGATCTCCCTAGAAAAGAAGCACTCTTATACCAGAATGGAAATGGAACTATTGAGACCATATTCTTCGTCATTTCCATGGTGAAAGATCAAAAATTGTTTGATTGCCTCGATTACCCTCCAATTAAAAAATCTGTACTTCCGGGTATAAAAAATGAATGATCGTGACGATAATACACGCGCTATAGGCTAACATAAATCAGCAGAGAATAAGCAGCAGTAATAAATCAGCAGAGAAATCCAGAGTTATCTTTGAATGGCTACTACAAATCATATTGCTATTAAGTAATGCATACTGCTGCTGCAAAGCCAACATTACTCATCTCAAGCAGATGTTTTTTGTCACTTGTTGAGACTATCACATTGTGCCGTTTGCATGAGATGTATGCCTTTAGTTTGTGATGTCCACTCTGTCCCGAAGGTTTATTTAAAGGCACTGACTACTGTATTCAAAAGGAATTATATCTCTCCGAAAGAAGTTCTGCCTACAACTTGTGCCCCGTATCACGTACGACATATAGCATCTACAGATGCGGACGTTTCAACGTGCATTTTGAGGAACTTCTTGTAATCAAATTCGCTATACGACTTTTTTTATCATTAGCTGGCTTTCACCTCTATCCAAGTAATTTGACTATCGGCTCATCCCAAAGTGTTCTTCGACGATCGGTGCAGCTAGCTGAGAGACGAATAGCATGTCGCAGAATTGCCTGTTGGGATGGCACAACGTTTCTCTCTGGTCATACCAGAATATAACAGATATTTGGTCATACAGTCAGGTGTGAACGCTACAAAGGTGCAATTTAGTTCGCCTTGTCTCACCGTATAGGTGATTACTTATTGTGAAAATCAGCACAGTGTAAATCAAGTTTGCGAAATGCAGTTCCCTTTCTTCCTTCCTTCACAAAGATAAATGATCTCTGCTTTCCGCGATAGGAACAGGTTTGCATTCTAGAAAGTTAATATCAAAATGATATTGAATAATTTGCAGTCTTCTACCTGAAACAAGGGCGGGATGGAAAGTCATTCGGATATGCTAGCCAGAAGTGCACTGGCGAATTTTTGCAGTGTTTCTTACAAAATTCTAGTTCCTTAATAGAAGCAATTGCCTCACGGCATTTCAATACAAACAGAAAAAATACAGGGAAGTCGATGACATTACAACAGAATGGATAGAAGGTACGGTATTCTGTATGAGCAAGCCAGGACTTGTGAAACTTATTGTTGTTTTCTGATGCGCACGCTTTAAGGTTGTATTTTTTCCCGGTGTAAACAATGAAATTTAAGAAAAATCGCGAGATACAATTTATTAGTCATACACGACTAGAAGAAAAAACAATTTAAACAACCAGTAAAGCTGAAGGAAAATTTGACGTGTTCATCAAGCTTTTTGGAATTTATGACACCGGTAAAACTTCAGATTCCTTTCTTCCTTCCATACTTTCATTCGTTCCTAGATTAAAAATCGGCTTGATCAGTTGCAGGACAGACGGTCGATTGGTATCAGTCGTCTCCCTGACGGTGATTTGGCAGGGATCATCCAATGACTCAACCGACAGCGAAAGCAAATCCCTAGATTTAGCACATGAATTTAATTGAACCGAGCCGCATAACGTGAGGTACGCGTAAATTCATTAGTTAATGAATTTGCAAGACTTGCCGTTGCCTACTTTTCAGACGTTTCTGTGGCCGGGCTGACAGGAATGGAATGATCGTCGTTACTAAGTGATACGTTTTCATTGTTAACGGACAAAAACGGAGTGTTGTCCTGCTGAATGGAATCCTCGAAAGTGACGGAAGATTGTCGACTATGAATCCGCGACTCTTTATTCGGATAGATATCACTATCGGTCAAATCTACCGAATCAAGGTGACCTACAAAATGCAATGTTAACTAAACAGAGGTCAACTTTTTAATGAGGAGAACTTACCGCCGTTTCACACTGCATGTATAGACTTACATGCAAGAGAAAACATTTTAAGCCAATGTAAAATAGGGACAAAATCACCTTCGCTGTACAGTTCATTATACTTAATTTAGTACGGTTAGAACATCAAATGCATTAACAACATGTCGTAAATGCAGAAAATAAAATCAACCGCAAGGCTCTGAACTTGAGTTTCCATTGTCTCCTCTTGAGAACACGAGATTCTTATTTACGGGTTGCTTATAACTCGCATAGTGGGTCTGATTACGCGATCGCCTGTTAATTCAATGTTACAAATAAAAATCTAAAATAAAAAGGGTAACATCGTTTATTATCATAGCCATGAAACTGTGTTAGAACAGACCTATGGTAATTTTGCCATACATACCCAAAGATATGCAGCCAATCATAAGATGCCAGAACAACATGGGGTTTAGGGTCAGCCACAAGACCAGCATGAATTTGGGGATGCCATTATTTAAGAAGTATGCCCAAAGAAACAAGGAGCCGATGAATGTGGTGAACGGCGTTGAGCGCGGAGAGTGCGAGAAAATATGTTGGAAAGAACCACCGAAAATTTAAAATCCAGAGTAAAGAACATTTATATGTAGTTCATCTTGTGCAGGACGATTACTTTGGTATTGTTAACACGCCCTTTTGGGAGAGACGCTCATTCAGTCAGACAACTGTGTCTGCCAAGACCCGCCAATGCTTTGTCTTCTGAAAACGGAATAACTATATATTTTTACGAGAAAACATCGTATCTTTAATGAACACCCTTATTGTGTGGCGATAAGCGAATGTTCGAGAGCTATCACGAACTTGATAAGAAAATTTTGACTAACGAAATGCGTGGTTCAGACTGAACCCTAACGTTAAAATTTGGTGTTAATCTACCACTTACTTTAAATCGAGATATTCTGTTTATATAAGGTGGATAACTGGGTAATAATCAGTTCTACATTGGCAATGCTACGGCGTGAGTAGGAAAACACACTTGTAAGTTAAAAGTATTAAATTTCGTGTTGTTTGGTGTCCTCCACCATCAATCGGCAAAGCATCTGTGAACTAAAAATCGGTGCAATGCTTGGCTTATGATACTCGGATGCTACTGGTTTTGTATCATTATCAAGTACGAGTAGTCAGTGAAAGATTGTTGGGTCAACTATAAGTGTGTCCTGATATAGTCATGGGAAAAATTACTAAGCTATAGCAGCCTGATTTGAAGTGATTTGTATTCGTTCGGTGCCGATTGAACAACGACATGCAGTACTTAAACGAACTCTGAATTTCGCAGAGATGAAAATATATGCGTAAGAACACTCATCGTGATCGAAAAGACAGCATCTGTTGTACACGGCGGTCAGCGACGCAGCAGGCTGCAGTTTGGAGCTGCACTTTCGAGATATTGAATTCAAATCCAGTGAGTGGCGTAAATCTCCTTATTATCTGTTAATTTTTCGTTCCGTTTCGGCAAAACAAGTTAAGAAACCGTGACGAATCTTTAAATAAGTTGAACAGCATACTGTTGTAGAGTGTTAATTCCAGGGAATGCGAAAATTACGGTCACGTCCTATGATGCATCCGCCGAACAACTGCACTTCGTTTTAACCTATCTCATAGCTGATTTGAAAGTTGTGCAATATATAAATGGTAATTTTAAAAGAAATAATGATGTTGCCTTCAGCAGGGCAGTACTTTGCGAAAACATGTGAAGAAGCATAAAGCAGAAACAAATACACCAATACCTAATCGATTACGAAGCCAGTGGTGCTGCAGTTCCGCCTCATCGATGTTCACCTTGTCGACGGTGGTAACTTTTTTCTGTGCTATAAGTTTGCCACGACTATGCTGTGAGCAAGACTGAAGCCTGGAGCGACTTCCAAAAAGGTTGTGAGCTCTGCGCGTCCTTGAAACGGAAGGTTCTTGTTGCCTCAAGTGATTCACCTGAAATGGCATGCAAGTTTCGAAAAATGAAAGATATTGTGCTGCCAAGCTACCATCAAAGAGAACAGCTCCCAGTCTCCAAATGACATTCTTAGCTCAGACTTTAGCTTCTCGAGATTGCACACTGACAAAACCAAACCAGATACGTTCGCAGACTGACAACGGCGACAGTAGGTTTCCAGCGCTTCCGTACTTGACACAGGCAAGAGTTTCATCAGGGCACAAACCTCATCCACCGTCATAGAACTAAGCAACCAGTTATGCCAAGGCGGGCCCTGAACGATTCATACACGTAAGTACGAACAAGGGCGATCAACTCTATACCGAAAACAACTTTTTGACACCGTAAAACGACGCATGTGTTTCTGAAGACTGCGCTTCATCGGGGTCTTGCTTCACCGTCTGAAAGTCTGTGCTTTCTGACGAATCAAACTGTTCTGAAGAATAAGTTAAATCAGTAAATCAATAAAAATACTGATGCATAACATCCTAGAAGCGAAGCAAATTCTCTTTGTACCTCGAATAAGCTTGCGGATGTAAGGATCGAGGTTCGATGTGAAAGGGACAAACGACTTTAACTGACCAACTGTCAGAATCGGATCAAGTTCGCTTTTAAAATATGCATCCAGCGTTTTTGGATTTCGATCCATCTCCATCAGGTAGTCATTCTTTTCCGTTGGAATGAGGTTACGAACCCTTCAATAAAAGATTTACTTAGTCAGTTCAGCGTTTACACTTTTGAAAAGACAATAAATAATGTAATTTGGTTTTCATAACAACGTTCTAGCAGCCTTTTAGTTTTATTCTATTTCAACTGTTTTAGTTAAGAAACATTTTACGCTCTCTATTATTTACAGTTGCCTGTTTTCATGACAAGCCAATCCTTTAGTTCGTGCTTCCTTTGTTCTCATCTTGTGTATAATAATCAGCTTTTGCTTCCTTTTACTGAAAAAAAGATTTTATAAATTATCCTGAAGTAAAACAACTGCTTAATACAAACTAGTACTGGATATACATCAAGTATACCCTGACGTTATGGAACTGTAATTACATATTAGATTCTGACAGTAACCATAACATTGCAATTTCTAGGCCCGGATTTACTTGGCATAAGCCCACAGCCCTCGATAGTCGCTAGGAGAACCATTTAACCAGGCCACAGCTCCATGGTATTTGAGTACTTGCAGTGCACTGTTGCAATAGTGAGGAAGTGGCAGTATAAACGAAAGTTTATCAGATGTACCTGTAAGGATCTGTAATAGCTATCCCTCTCAAAAGGTTAAGGAGAAAACCTTAACTAACCGCGCATCTGTGGCAGTTTCAACAGAATTATAAACCCATTTTTTAATGTTTTTAGGGAAAAGAATCAGTAGTAATTTATGTAATACAGTTAGAGCGCTTTAATGCTTATCATTCTTTTTGTGCAATCATCGTAATAGAATACCTTCTGTCTATAAGGCTTCTTATTATTCTCTTATTCTGCTTCTCTAATTCCCTAGAGCGTATTCTTTCTCTCTCATACTACAATATACAATAAATTTCGTCATTCTCTTTCATTCTCCTCTTCACACGTTTTCTCTTGATTTATTTTTTCGCTGCTTTTAGCTTTTGTTTTATACTCCTTTCTTCATACTTTCCGTATAATTCTTTCTCTCTTTCTCAGTATCTTGCTCCTGCTCGTGGCTTGGTGGCTCAATGTGTAAGAGGTCAATTTTGAACTCCTGAAGGAAATTCAAATCCACTTAAGGGAAAACCTTGTCTCAACCGCGAATTTCCTTAAGCAAGAAATTAACTCCAAGCTGCTTCAGCGCAACCAATCAAATGGTATACATATAGTATACTTGTCTAAAAAGTAAATCTGGTTCTGAAGAACTTACGTTTCGTAGAGGTCAGCCAGAGTGGCACTTTCGTGCACTTTGTTCTTCTCGACGTACTCTATCATCCATGAGAGTTGATATGGCCACTGTTCGATGAGGCTAATCCAGTGGGCAAGAGTTATCCAGGAGAAATCGATGTCGAATGCTCGCATTAACCGCCCTAAAAAACCATTCGTTCAATCAACAGGAATCATCCAGTGGTACAAATCACGTCACCGGTCACAGCCAGAGCATTGACAATACGACGCATGCTACGAGGGTTGATGTTACTAAAGTAGCTGTCCTGCACGATGTGTTGACCAAAAATCGGATTTTCGTAAAACGACTGCGAAATATGCCGTCTCAGATTAAAACTTTCACCCCGCTGGCTGTCAGCGATTGAAACGAACGACCCGCTTAACGCTTCTTGACGAAGTAGCTATAAAACTGACGCCTCTAGATCAAGTTAGAAAAACTCAGATTAATTCAGAAAGCGATTTTTATAAAACTTAAGCAAGCTACACTGTAGAACATGAACATTTGCAACAACTGGGCGTATGATATAACGCATTCAAATCATTAGTAGCTCAAATCTGAGGCAATAAATGCGTAAACTCATAATCATAAATGTAGATACAATGCAGATCAAATTATTTTTAAGAGTTTAAGGAGAGGTGAATACTTCATTGTTTGTCATAACCTTGCTTCGAAGAAATTTTATTGAAAATTTTCTAGATGAACATCTACCCTCTTTCTGTGCAGGTCAAACCAGTAATCGCTTATTATATATAATATCGCTATATTATA